GAAGACTCAGAGGGGTGTTTCTCCGCGAATACATGACTTATTTGGATATACTATAGCTCATTCGAATCTACATTAAAAACAGTCTATAAAACTTGTTCTAAGCGGATTCTACAGTAACACTATCTATTTAAAAAAATTTTTGAAAAAATTATTTTGAATATTTTTTGGGACATGGAAGACTCAAAGGGTGTTTCTCCGCGAATACATGACTTATTTGGATATACTATAGCTCATCGAATCTACATTAAAAACAGTCTATAAAACTTGTTCTAAGCGGATTCTACAGTTACCCTATCTATTTAAAAAAATTTTTGAATAAATTATTTTGAATATTTTTTGGGACATGGAAGACTCAGAGGGGTGTTTCTCCGCGAATACATGACTTATTTGGATATACTATAGCTCATTCGAATCTACATTAAAAACAGTCTATAAAACTTGTTCTAAGCGGATTCTACAGTAACCCTTTCTATTTAAAAAAATTTTTGAAAAAATTATTTTGAATATTTTTTGGGACATGGAAGACTCAGAGGGGTGTTTCTCCGCGAATACATGACTTATTTGGATATACTATAGCTCATTCGAATCTACATTAAAAACAGTCTATAAAACTTGTTCTAAGCGGATTCTACAGTAACCCTTTCTATTTAAAAAAATTTTTGAAAAAATTATTTTGAATATTTTTTAGGACATGGAAGACTCAGAGGGGTGTTTCTCCGTGAATACATGACTTATTTGGATATACTATAGCTCATTCGAATCTACATTAAAAACAGTCTATAAAACTTGTTCTAAGCGGATTCTACAGTAACCCTTTCTATTTAAAAAAATTTTTGAAAAAATTATTTTGAATATTTTTTGGGACATGGAAGACTCAGAGGGGTGTTTCTCCGTGAATACATGACTTATTTGGATATACTATAGCTCATTCGAATCTACATTAAAAACAGTCTATAAAACTTGTTCTAAGCGGATTCTACAGTAACCCTTTCTATTTAAAAAAATTTTTGAAAAAATTATTTTGAATATTTTTTGGGACATGGAAGACTCAGAGGGGTGTTTCTCCGCGAATACAAGACTTATTTGGATATACTATAGCTCATTCGAATCTACATTAAAAACAGTCTATAAAACTTGTTCTAAGCGGATTCTACAGTAACCCTTTCTATTTAAAAAAATTTTTGAAAAAATTATTTTGAATATTTTTTGGGACATGGAAGACTCAGAGGGGTGTTTCTCCGCGAATACAAGACTTATTTGGATATACTATAGCTCATTCGAATCTACATTAAAAACAGTCTATAAAACTTGTTCTAAGCGGATACTACAGTAACCCTATTTATTTAAAAAAATTTTTGAAAAAATTATTTTGAATATTTTTTGGGACATGGAAGACTCAAAGGGGTGTTTCTCCACGAATACATGACTTATTTGGGTATACTATAGCTCATTCGAAACTACATTAAAAACAGTCTATAATACTTGTTCTAAGCGGATTCTACAGTAACCCTTTCTATTTAAAAAAATTTTTGAAAAAATTATTTTGAATATTTTTTGGGACATGGAAGACTCAGAGGGGTGTTTCTCCGCGAATACATGACTTATTTGGATATACTATAGCTCATTCGAATCTACATTAAAAACAGTCTATAAAACTTGTTCTAAGCGGATTCTACAGTAACCCTATCTATTTAAAAAAATTTTTGAAAAAATTATTTTGAATATTTTTTGGGACATGGAAGACTCAGAGGGGTGTTTCTCCACGAATACATGACTTATTTGGATATACTATAGCTCATTCGAAACTACATTAAAAACAGTCTATAAAACTTGTTCTAAGCGGATTCTACAGTAACCCTATCTATTTAAAAAAATTTTTGAAAAAATTATTTTGAATATTTTTTGGGACATGGAAGACTCAGAGGGGTGTTTCTCCGCGAATACATGACTTATTTGGATATACTATAGCTCATTCGAAACTACATTAAAAACAGTCTATAATACAACAGTTCATAATACAACAGTTCATTAAGTAAAATAATTAACTTTTTTAATAATAAGATGTTGTTCTAGATGTTGTTACATTTCGTCTACTTTTGGTGTCACTCCAGCCTGACTCGCAAATTGAATGGCCACAACATTGACCACAAATGTTGGCTCCCTAAAAATGAGAAGTCTACTTAGCCTAAAAATTAGTAGGGATTGGAGATCGAGATTTTTGAAAAGCCTGGACCTGTTCCTGGACTCTAGGTACAGGAAAATCCAGGCCTTGGTCCAGGTCTAGCTCGATCTCTAGTAGGGATCAAAAACATGCTAAGTTGCTCTAAGACCCTTTCCCTTTCCAACACTAAAAATAAATGATGAGGTAAATAAATCCCAGAGAGCAAAACAAGATAGAAGGGAAACTGAAGGAGTCTCAAACTTCGAATTTTTATGCCCCCCTAGCCCTACTCATTTTTAGGGACTGACGATACGAGCCAAATTTAAAGTTTGAAAAGGAAAGGATCTCGAACTATCAACTAGGGTAGCATGAGATTATTTTTCCTTGTGGCAGACTTTTCGCTTCTCTTTTTGACCCGCCACAGGAAAATATAAACGAGGAATCAAACGGTCTCGTGCTACCCTACTATAAACTTTACATTTTTCTGAGTCCCTACTGAACGGTAAACGGATTCCAAATTTAAATTTGAAAACCTTAGAAAGTAAGCATTGTCTTAACATTTGATGCCTTCTGCATTTGGCGCAAGGCCCCATACAAGCAAACTGACAAGCACATGTACACCTGCAAGAATCTTTTGCACAACGAGTTCCTCCACAATGCATTGTCATTATAATTTATTTGATATTAAGTAGAAATAAATCCTAAAGAATTGGATTTGGAAGAATTTCAAGATTGTTAAGATCTGGAAAATCAAGAGAAAGAATAAATTTAGGTATAGATTGCAGACGGGACAGAATTCCGAACGTGATTTAAGGGATCCTGTCCCGAAATCCCGTATTTTAAGCAACGAACGGGATTATCGGGATCGAGGGATCCTGTCGAGAGATGTGTCCAAGGGATCCTGTCCGAGGAGATCGAGGGATCCTGACTGTAAAAATTTTGAAAAAAAATCCCGTTACGGATCCCGGAAATGCCATCTTCCTCAGTTTAGTATAGATTTCTTGTTTGGCTTTTGCCCTATAAATGACTTTTTGTCCAAAATCCGCGTTGTACCTTCGTCGCGTGAGTGATTTTAGTAGGGTTGTCGGTTTTAACCAGTTTGGTTTATCGGTTTCGATTAACAGAAATGTTCGGTTCGGTATTTAGTTGACGATCCTAGATTCTAAACATAATGGAATTGTAATAAATTTAAAAATATAAAAAATTTGGCAGAAAAATCGAAGAAATGTAACAAATAAGCTTTAAATAAAAATAAATTGAACACATGCTTGCTACTCTTTGAACAAATAAATATAAAAATAAAAAATAAACACATGTTGGAATTGAAAGAGCGGATAAACAATAAAATATCCTATCTATGTATAAGCGTCCCAAAAATAGTATAGGCAAATACAAGAGGTCGGCAAGGGGATGTGGTCCTGTACGGGATTATTAATTATCCCCATAAATTGCCACCGCCGTTAAAAATGGAAGAATTTGGGTCCTTGGCCTTCCAAAATTCTTAAAAATTCCCCTGCGGGGATGAATAGTTGAGTCTCCATTGATGTATATATGGAGATAGAAGTAATTAAGAAAGAATTTAGTGGGTTATCGAGGGATTTGTTTGGATTAAAAGATATCTGGTTGGGGTTAAGAGGTTTATCGGAGGATTTTGGAGGCTTATAGAGGATATGAGATACTTGAGAGTAGGGTTAGGGTTTTCGCGTGGCCGACGTTCAAGTCTTTTTTCAGGCATCATTTTTATCGGACCGGTCCGACTGAGCCTTTTCAGGCAAAAATTCGATGCATGACTCGGTCTTTCGGACTGGACAGGGCCCCCAACCTACTTGAGAGGGATTCATGGAACTCTTAAAAGCTCATGGCATGTGTTTCATAAAGTAGACCACTGAAAATACCATAAATTGTCCTCAAAATGTCTAGGTTACAATTATGAGTAGAAAAAATAATTGGTCATTATTTGATTCCAGATTTAAATTCAAAAGTCACAAGCTAGATGCATACATAGAGTTCGAAAAGTGTAGCTAATAATATCATTCTAATCTTTTTCTAGTTGGAGGTATACCCAACTTCCAAAAAATAATGAAACTGCCTTGGAGAGTAGAGAGCTAAGTATGTACTTTAGTAAATCTAATAAAGATAATAAATTGAAATAATACATAAAGATCAAAAAAATAATTATACCTATTTAAAATGGTTTCTAATCAGCGTGTCTTCAAACGCTCAAATAATCACTCTTCCCTTTTAATTACCCCCTCCAAATAGAGGTTAAAACAATAATTACCCAGGGCAACTATTTTACAAATAGGGTATATATCAAATATAGTCCATTGAATGAGCTATAGTATATCGAAATAAGTTATGTATTCGCGGAGAAACACCCCTCTGAGTCTTCCATGTCCCAAAAAATATTCAAAATAATTTTTTAAAAAATTTTCTAAAATAGACAGGGTTACTGTAGAATTCGCTTAGAACAAGCTTAGAACATGTATAAAAGATAAACTTCTCCAGAATCCCTAGGAGACCGCACAGGCAAATTAGCACAATTTAATCAATTCTGAAACTAGCCTGAGAAATTCTCGGCTTCCAAAAAATTTCTTCATGGCAAATGTCTGTACGAATACCAAATTATTACGAGGACTTTTTATCAAGTAAAATACTTTTAGTTAATAAGTTTCAAATAATGGGTGTGAACGAAAAGAACTACACTTGTGCCTAAACTAGAACAAACAAAGTGTTTTGTTTACTGTAAAACCTTTTAAATATAAAATTTATTCAAAATTTTAATTAAAAATTCTTTAGTATGTTGAAGAAATATTTAATAATATCACAATTTAAGAAATTAGTATAAACCACATCCCTGCAGATTATTTTGAATAATCAAGTCGATGACAGAATCAAGAATGAGTTGCACCTAAATAAAATCGTTTAAATATACAGCTTCCTAGTATATTTCATAAGGGATTCGAACATCCCACTAGATTAAGTAGAGTTGTCTGGTGGGTACTCGTTTCGTAACTGAATCGACGAACAAAAATATTTTTCTTTTGGTCCTGGATAATCAAGGATTTCCAGAGAATCAGCGCCTTAGTCTCCGAGCTATCTGAGACTATCCGAAAGTTATGGATAGTTCCAGCGATTTTCCAAAATTATTTATGAACTCATATACAAAGGAGTCTTTATTTAACGACACCCAAAGAGTGGCAACCTACTGTCCCACTTGGGCGCGCCGTTGAATTGGGTGTGCCATAATAAAGAGACACAGAAAAGTGTGCCATAATTGAAAAATTTTTCTATAATTTATTTACTTGATTAGTATCAGTAGCACAAGTTTGATGCATATAAAGGGTTTTGTCAGGATTCGCATTCAATGCTTCGAATTTTTCCTCGATAAATTTTACTTGTTCTTCGTAAGAGTCAGAACCTTAAATTTAAATTGATTTTAAGAAAAATTTAGTTGTTGAATGAACGGGTGTACATAATATTTGTCATTTAAAATACTAAAACATATACATATATATCGAAAATTGAATGAAAACGTGCCTCGTTTAGAGCCATTACGTAATTTTTTGGAAGTCAACTCGATTTGACTAATTTGACGTTTCATAATATTTTCATGATTCCTAGTAAAACAAGGAATCTACAATCGGGAATCACGATATTTCCCCGTGAAACGATCTCAAGTTTACTTAATATTTAGTTAAAAATTTCAAGTATTATAATAATCGTTCGAATGTGATTCAGGTAGATGCGCCATTGTCCTAACTTATTTTTTGGGAGCCAAAGGTAAAATTTGGCTAAACTCTTGTCAAAGTAAAGTCTCTTATTTGTATTTTTTAATTTTCCATTACCTTTATAATCATTGAAGCAAACTTTAATTGTTTTCCTTTTAATTTTTTCGATAAATAAATCTGTCTTGTTGAGAAAAACAATCATTGAAGTATTTATGAACCATCTAGAATTGCAAATACTTTCAAAGAGACGCATTGATTCTAACATTCGGTTCTGGAAAAATTTAATTTTAAAAATTGATAAATACATTTTAGGGGAGGATATCGAAAGTATATAGTAAAAAAGACGCCTAAAATATATGTTAAATAGATAAAGCCCTAAAGGGGTGATCAAACTAGGTAAGCACTGTCAAGAAGGCCCATGTTAAATTCAGATTCTTATACCATAATTGGGCAACCTAGCTTGATCTTTTCTAGATATTGATACTATAAATTTGAGTAAAGCAGCTGGACTATAGCTATTTCTCTCCTTTAGCTAGTGCAAAAGGTTATTCGGCGGCTGGGAGCGAACCAGCATCTTCAGTAGACCGGACTGATGTGTCAGCCATTACACCACGCCGCCTACTACTCAGCCTTAGGAAATTAATAGCTATATGCTTTACATTTGATAGATATAATAAATTTAAATTCAATCTATTCTTAAGTATTATCTTCTAAACGATCTTAGCATAGCAGAGTTCTTTATGCATTAATTTTTTGGAAGCCCATAAGTATTGGGTTGATTATATGTATATCGTTGGATAGTGCCACAAAACCAAAAAATTTTACCGTAGCCTCGTCTTCAAACAAAACTTGATCAAATTCACTAATTGCTGTAATGAAGATGATGGAATTTACATTCTCAAAGCAGTGGATCCATTTTTTCCTTTCCGATCGCTAAATTTTTGTATTATTTTTAAGAATTATTAATTAATTTCCAACCTGTCCACCAACATCAAATACCAGAAAGTCAACAGCTTTCATTTTGAAAGCAACCTAAATTTGAAAATTTTATAGAAATTTGCTTAATATTAAATAAAAAATTAAATGTTATGTTTATTTTTGGATAAAGCATATAATTTAATTCTTGCATACAGTGACACATCTTGTTTATTTTTGCAAGTCTTAGCTGTTGCTAAGATTAAATTTTATTTTAAAGACAGTACTTCCAGGGTCATTACAGAATAGTACGGGATATACCGAAAAATGTATGCAAACCATAAAGGGACTTGGTGGACAAAATTTGATGTAAGTTTGATTATTAGTCTGATCGAATCGACTTCCAAAAAATTATAACCCGTTCAAGAATCGCTGATATTTTCTCTATTTAATTTTCAATATATTTGTGATACTATTTTAAATATTCAATATTATGTGCAACTTGTATAAATGACTCAATTTTGTTCAAACTCTCATCTCGTTCCGGTCTTTAGTTACAAGGCAAATCTATGCTGTAGCAAAGTTTAATGTTATTTAGATTAGACTTGGAGGTCATACGTAACATCAAGAAATATCGATCTGACAAAAGTAAGCTTGGACTTGTTATATTAAACAATTTTGAATCGAGATTGTTAATTAGTCAGATAGAGCTGACTTCCAAAAAATTACAGCAAATCGTATTTAATCCCATATCTTTTCAATTTAATTTCCCATTTATCTCATGTACTATTTTAAATATTCAATATGTACATTAGGGCTGGACGAAATATAAAAATACTCGCCACTCCATAATCAAACTTATTCCAGTCTTTTTTTAATTAAAATCTACCTCGATTATTCCAGTAGTTTTAATCCTGCTTAAAAGAATGTCCTGTTCTGTAGGCCTATAATCTGGGTTTGAAGTACGGTCGATAGCGTCGAGGAAACTGTAAAATAATTTTTTTAATTGAATTTAGTTTCAATAAGTTTTGCTTATGAGTGTTTGATATAAAAATTTACCTCACCTCGATAAATGCATCATTTGAATATTTTTGCAAGTCTTAGCTGTTGCCAAGACTAATACCATATTACAATCGTAATGCCGAGGTTCTTCTTAATCTACAAACCTCTCGATGCCATCCCCAAATAATCTTAATGCTATCCCAAAATCCTCTTAATCCACTGACTTAAATCTTTATTTCCAAATTCCTCAATACCAGCGCTGATCCTCCAATATCAAACTATATCACTCCCAATCCCTATATATCCCTTTTACTCACTTAAACACCCTCTGATCACTCCTGATCTCACAATATCTCCTTTGGGCTCAGATAGTAAGAGTGATATGTGAAGTTTTTCTAACAAATACCCGCTTACCATACCTAATCTCCCGTATCCTCTATGGATACAACTAAGACATTAATATATGGTATGTATTGTAGCTTTAAAGAAACTTACTATTTGCTGTTTTCAACTAATTGAAATTCTTGACCACGCGGCAACACTTTTTCTTTAATATTTCTATCTGCCCAAAGTGCCTTGATTGCTTGTACCAACTCATCGGTATAAGGTTCTGATTCTTCTCCCTTTCTGACTATATCGAGTACAATGCGAGCGGCCGACTGAAAAATCAAATATAGTAGAAAGTAAGTATAACTCCACAAAGAAAAGTAGCCAAAGAATTTTTGGCTCCCAAAAAATAAAAGAAACAAGAAATAAAACTGAATATAGTATCTAAATGTTTACGGTTATTAGGTATTGTTTTTATGATTATTTAATAAGTTGCGCGTAAACTTTAAGGATTTTCATCTATGAGCATTAAAATTCTTAGACGGGGTTAAACAATCTAAGAAGAATGAATAAGTTGTCGTTATTGTAGCTTTGTAATAAAGTGACTGTAATGTATAAGGAGAAGTCCTCCCAAGAGGCCAAACGTGTCGAGTCGTAGAATTATGCTTTCGGAAGTAAACAAAATACATAATAGCTATTATTTCAATTTATTTTTGTTAATTATGCAGCAAATTATTTTAAGGCTACTGAAGTACGCATATCCACTCTTAATTTTTTGGAAGTTGGATTTAACCAACTAAATTATCGCAAAGATTATACTTATTCTCTCCCTCTCAAGACGGTCCCATGGACTAATTGAGCTTAGTTTTGACATGGATGGCTTGGTATTATTGCGTCTAATTCAGCATAATTAAAATAAGTACCTCTAGCCCTTTATTCTCAAACGAAACATTTAATTTAGACATTCCATGAAGTAATGTTGCCATTGCGAGAACTGAAAAGGCAAATCTTTGATTTAATACAGATCTTTAAAATTTGCCTGTATTATTATAAACAGCAAATTTTTGTTTTTCCTTTTCTTCCTCAGTAAATCCATGGTCGTGCAGAATTCTTAAATTAAGTAATTTGAATTTTTAGGGCAGACCCACTTAAGAATGGATCCGAAAAATGACCGGATGTGCTGAACTTTTCGGTTCGGATATCGGTTCTGGAATCCGCATTTCAGCAGATTTGCCAAGGTCGGTCAACATTATAACCCTACTATGTTGATCTCTGCGCTCTGTTAAACTTCTGCGTTGAAGCAGGGCATTATATCTCTGATATGAAATGACTCACAAGGAGTGGGATGTGAAGTATCTCAAAAGGGAATGCAGCCAATGGAATCGAGAATATATTGTTCATGTTCGAAGGATTTGAAAGGTATTGAAAATTAAAATAATGAAATCTGTAAAGGACTCCTTTGGTGAATTACGTTGGAAAAATTACAGAGCAAGATAGGTATATTTTTTGGATGCCAGGCAGAGCCTAGGCAATTAAATAGCACTCTCACAATCCGGTCTCTATTTGAAGGTATAAATTCCCGATGACAGGAATTTGTTTTAATGGCGGCAGGATTTGAAAGGTGTTAAGTAATTAATATAATAATTTATGTAAAGGACTCTTTTGGTGAATTACGTGGCAGAAATTACAACACACTTATATTTTTTGGATGCCGGGCAGAGCCTAGGCAATATAATACCGAGATTTAGTGGCATTCCCTTGTTGATCTCGTTAATTTTCAGTTAGAAATAGAGATTGGATTGCGGCGAGCTCTCTAACAAAAGTTCGGCTAAAGAAACTCTCTCAGTGTGGTCTCTATTTGAAGAGTCTAGCTTAAATTATGTCTTCGAACGAGAGCTATTAAGACCTTCTAAGCAAGCATCAATTAACATGGTTTCTATTAGAGTTCTTTTCATCCTAATTCCTAATGCTCCGAAATTTAGTGTAGTGTCGGCAGGATTTGAAAGGTGTCAAATATTTAAAATAATTATCTATTTAATGTATGTACTCTATAATTTATGTGAACGCCTATTGTCGATCCTTTGGTTTATTTTTTGGATGCCTGGCAAAGCCTAGGCAAGTTATCACCTATTTAGAGTCATCTAATCGCTCTGATTTAGTGTTAGAAAATTCTAGTTTAACCTCTGGTTTCAAATTATGAAAGTACTAACCTCATTTGCTTCAGTATTGTACTCTTTCCGCATTCTCCAGCGCCTAAAATTTAATAAAGCTTAACAATTTCCGGCTTAAAAAATGCAAGGACTAACCTAGCAAAAGCAGTTTGACTATCTTTTGATGAGCAATATGAGCCTGAAAGGAAAATTGGTACTTATCGGTTATCTCCCCACACATTATTTTCTTTTTATTTCCCCCTCTCCTTCTTCCCATAAGTTACAAAAATGCCACATTTTCTTCCCTGTTTTTCCTCTTCTCCTTCACAAAAGTTACAAAAACGTCACAGGCAAATAATTGTAATTAATAAATTTATTTTAAAAAATTGAAAATGTAATCTAAAAACATTATTTAGGGGGCTAAAAATGTGCTATTTTCTTTAAAATCCGTTTGTAATACAAGTACCTGGCCTTATATGCTTGCTAAAAGGTGTGACACATAAAAGGCTGTGACATTTTATAACTTTTGGGAAGAAGGAGAAGAGGAAAAATTGTGGCATTTTTGTAATTATTGAACAGAAGAAGAGGGGAAAAAGGGAAAGGAAATGTGGCATTTTTGTAACTTATGGGAGAAGGAGAGTTGGAAATAACAGGAAAATAATGTGTGGGGAGATAACCGATAAGTACCGGAAAATTTTATTATTACCATTTATACGTAAATTTTTAGGACAGAATCTTTGGGATTCTAATGGGTCACATTTAATTTTAGCCGGATTTATAACCGGCTTACAAAAATATGCCTACCTAAACAACACTCATTCCTATTACCTTACGTTACTTGAATTCGTTTTTTTTAAAAAGAATTAATTAAATAAATTATATTAAGCAAAGTTAGATTTTTCTCAAAATTAGATTCTACCGTATTTTGAATAGTTAACAGGCTATTTGTTTCTATACCTCTTATAAGGGGTTTAACAATTTCTGGTTCCAAAAATTTAAAGACAACATGCTATAAGCTTAATCATGCTAGAAAGGGATCCAACTTGCCCTCTCCTTGCTCGAGGGAAAGCACTTGAGGGAGGGCAAGTGTTCGTGTTTGGTAGGGTAGGGCTTTAAAGCAGGGCTCGCATTCCTACTTTTTTAAAAGTATTCTACTTTTAAATCGACCTCCATGCTTACGAAATTGAATTTATACTTTTTTGAAAGTATCTACTTTTAAATCAACATTTTGGATTGAAAATGAAATTGGGGAAGACATTGGGCAAAAAAGTGAATTTTTTGTCATACGGCCTTTGAAATTCTCAAAATTTTCGCCTGCGGCAAGAAATGGAAGAAATCTGGCTTAAGGACCCCCAAAATTCTCAAAATTTTTCGCCTGCGGATAAAATTTCGCCTGCGGATAAATATTTTCTAATTTAATTTCGAGACTACTTTTTTTCGCAAATTTTCTCCCTATATACTTTTTAATCAAGATTTTGATACTTTTGAGTGGCATTTTGTCGATGCGAGCCCTGCTTTAAAGGCTTTAACGTAGGGTAGAGCATTTGAGTGAGGGTAGTTGTTATTTGGACCTTACTAGACGGGCTGCACGCAATTTCTGATTGCGTGGTTTTTTGACTTGCGGAT